CTAAGATCTAGACTCCAATTTTTGATGTCAGAATCGAAGTCCATGGTCTGATTTCTTGTTTTTGGTAGAAAAATTGCAAAAAATGGCTAGATTAGCCAAAAAATGGCTAAAAAAATATTCTATTCGCCTCTTTCCAAGAATTGTCTGGTCGTTTTTAAACGTGGATGTTGGCAACACTGGGTGGCTGGCCTAGCCAGACGGAACGCGGGGTCCGCGATGCGTTTTTGTTGTTGTTATTGTTGGTGAGTTGACGCGGAATTTCCGCAGACTCAAGAGAAGTAATGCAGAATTAGAGGTCTGGATGATGGCCCAGTCTAGAATGACCAGACGTACTCTTTTTATAGTACAATTACTATTTTTCGAGGCTGTTGTCCTCGTACTCGTATCTTTTTCAGTTTGGGAGGTAATTGTCCTCTTTTCTGAAGTCCGACACGCTAGGACGGTTTATAGCCAACAATTGATGATAATAGCTATTTATATATCAAGGGAGCAATGGTATTCATTTCCTCCCGCGTGTGAAGTTTGTTGCCTCACATGGGAGAAAATGAACCTTCGCTCCCGAGTCCCAAGATATATATATATATGATTTTAATCACGAACGCATATATTTGAGAGCGTCGTTCTGAAAATTGTGCTCCAAGTGGTCTATCTCTCGAGTCTCGATCCAAATCAATGTGTTACATGATCTAAGGTTACAGACAGTATTTGACAGTTGACACATTACTGTCACATTGAATTTGTTTATTGTGTAATTGCATTTTATTCAATTGAGTAAGTTATATGAGGAAGTAATGAGATCATTGGAGTTCATAAATGAAATTATTTGTTTAATAGTAGTGATGGAGACACTGATTACTTGAGTAGTACAGATCTCATATGTATAATATCTCTACCAAAGAAGCAAGCTAGGTCCAATTTATTTCACCTCCCACGGTAGTTAATACTTTTTTCCTCTCGTGGGAGTAAATTGACTGGTTTGTGCCCTTAAATGAGGGAGCAAAAGCTTACTTTCGATGTTGTGACTGTTGTGAGTAGTTAAAATACATATTATGTTGGATTTGAAATTCAATATACGCCAACCATATATTAGAAGAAAACCATAGTTTAGACGATAATTTTGAAATTCTACACATAGAAAATAAATAATACTCGAATCATTTTGAATCATTACAAATCAACAAACTCAAAATCCTAACATTTTACTTAAAGATCAACTAGACCTCAATAGTTCACCACTGTTGAATTTGTTTTCTTGTTTATGCAAAGTCAGTTGGAAAAATACATCACCGCCAGCCGTCGGTCCCTTTGAAGTTTCAAAGAGTGCGGCAGCGCGGCTCGACATTCGTTTGATGATCGGTTCACCTGACTGCATAAACTTCAATAATATGTATTTGCTCAACGCTTTCAAGTTAATCCGGTACACCCTATTTCAATGTAGATATTTTTCCTATTTTCCGAAAATGAAGGTTTATCGTACCTTTCCACAGGTAATGCTGATCCTTCAGGTTGGGAAAGTAGGATTTATAAAAGTTAGGCAAGCCAAGGTTAGTTTAGTTCATTGTACTAGTATTTCACCTGATGAAGCTACTGTGTTAGCGAAACATGTCTTGTGATTTTGTGGAAATCCAATCGTTTGTGAGGTTTTTACATTTGATAAGTTTCTTGACCTACGCCTACGTACCCGAAAATTTAAAGAAGAAATCTGTCTGTACTCTGTATGCTCTAACCTGAAACCTTCAACAGAAATGTGATCAAAATACATCTCAGTAATCAAGCAAGTTACCACTGTTGCCAGACTTCTTGGGAAATTAAAATATTTCTTCAACCTTTCAACATAAATTCAAATAAGAATGAGCAACCCTTAAAAACGAGCCGACAGCATCATTGTTATATTGTATATACCCATAATTTTATAATTGGCAATTATTATGCCATGCTTATATTTCGTCAATAATTTCCTTTTCATCAGGTATTCGGTTTATAATTATGATAAATAATCCAATTTCCACCCATATAGTTTGTTCAATAGGTACGTCATTTCAGGTACCATTGCTAATTAGTTCGCTGTAGTGGCCTAAAACGGCTCGCATTTTTAGCTGTGCGTACATGGCTTTTCTAAGTAGTGCGTCATAAAAATGGTAGAGGAGCCGAAGCTCAATGAATTCTCATAAACTATAGTTATAAAGGAACGAAAATTTTAATGTTGGATTTGCCCACGAATGGGAATACCTATGATGTTCGAAGGTTATAAGTTCTTGGTCGTCTATGGACGAACTAGTTTTGATAGAGTGTTGTTCGATATATTCCAAGGTTGACAACGAAAGGATGTGCTGACTGGGCATGTCGAGTTCGTCTGACTAGTATTGCTGGTGACGGAATGACAGCAAAATTCCTGAGGCACATGTCACGTGGTAGTATCTATAGAACAATGAAAGGTCGCCGATTTGTCTACGGTGTTTTAATGCGATCAAAGGCCTAGTGAGTGTAGCCACCATGCGAATGGCTCTTCTCTCTCTTTTTGTGAAGCAGGAAGTTTTAAACCCAACAGATAAACGACCTATGTTTGGTTGCCTATACCACAATCGATCGTTAAGAGCGAAATTGATAGTTAAAAGGGGTCATTAACGATCAATTTCTCCCTATCCTCCCTTAAGGTACGCACGATGTTCTTCGAACATTATTGGGATACCCCTTGGTGCGCACCAAGCGATAAAAAAATTGGAAGTCGACGGAAATATGCATTACTAAGAAGCAATCTATGCGCACTTTTACTAGACTGGTTGAAGGTTGAAGGACACTGTCCTCTCAAACACTCATTACCTATGTTGACCTTCGAGAGAGGTATGAACAAACAAACATGATGAACCAACCTGAGTATGGCGGACAGCAGATGATCGATTGATGTGGTGCCAAAAACTCAATCACAAACACCGTCTAGATTTGAAGGTCCGATATGCTGGTATTTCAAGGTTTTGCATGCATAGTCAATGACATCAATTATTCAGAATGCGGTGCACAAAATATAAAATACCTTGTTGAAAACGTGTTGTTCGTTTGTCACATAGTCACGTGGTCGTTTTCTATGATGATCAAGACTTTAACTACTTTAGTACATCTGTGAGATTGCCCCCGATTGTAAACCATTATTGCTGGAACGGCATTTGTCATCTTTCCTATTACAAGGGTTTACCCTTACCCGAGGGCGGTATAATTATTTTGATCGCTCAGTATCTCATCCCACCAGATCTGGCAGCGCCTTTGTGTCATTCACCGAGCTTCCGACTCTCGTTAGGTTTCAACCCAATGAACACAGAACAATGCACAGCCGTAGTGTCTTTGTATCAGCAGGAATACACAGTTGCCATCTTAACTGATTTGTTGTCGATCAACATTAGACGTTTACACAAAGATATCAAGTTTACAATCGGAGTTGGTTAACAATCAGGACAAAAACAACTGGAACTGAGCTTACATATTATGTATCATTATTATTTCGAATAGCATCACCGGCTATGTTCCGAATTCAAATGTCAGTACTGAATTTGGCTGATTTTCCATTCAGAAATCAACAAAAATCACTGAAAGTGACAGATGTATAGAGCAGAGATACGAGTCATTCTGAATATTTTATGTTGAATTTATATTGACCACCAAAAGGTAGTTTGGAGTCTGCCATCTGTCAATAATGAAGTCAACATATTCTAAGGGCATAGAAATATAGCTTTTTACATTATCGTGATTAATTTGTAATTATCAACAGTGATTACACAAGTGATGGTGATTTTTTGATAATTTTAACTGGATGCACGAATCTTTGTTGCTATATGGAAATCTCACGACTGGACGAAGTCCACGAGTGGTAGGTATATGTCAATTGCATTAAAGACCTAGGTCTAATCTATTTAAAATTATACAAAAGGAAGTACAACCACGAATGTAATTCTGCGTGATTATTTTTCTTTGGTTTTGCGTCATTTTGTCGAACAAAACAGCCTACCAATAACGCAGTATGTACCTCTTTACGTATTTATAAACGAAGATCCAAACATGAAAAAATTATCGCTGTAATTTGCTACCAACAAATTAACAGTATGATACCAAGGGATTGGCTAGAATTACGCATTGATATTAGTAAATAAAGAAAACGCCACATTTTGACATGTGAATAAAATAATTATTCAAATCATTTATACATTCTGCTCATTGGAACTCAAAGCAATATTTTTTAATTGATTCAATGGAAAGGAAATTTTAAAAACATCAAATTTTGAATATCTAAATGGTGACAGCTCACTGCTGTAGAGTTTGTTCCGAATTTCAGCACAAGGTATCTCCCTGTAAATGCTAAACTATTTCAGAACAGTCGGTGGAATTGCTGACATTGCTGGCAGTTAAATTCGAAATATTGCCACAGATAACTTGATTGGACATATGAAAGTCGAATTCATATTACGAAAGCATATACAAAGTGACCCGTTTGAGAGCGGGCCACCCTCATGAATAATTATAGGTGGAGCGATCTTGACGACTCATTTTGTGAATATGGATAGGGGTAAGGCGTATTTTAAGCGGCGTCTACTTTTTTCTATAAACCAAGGCCTACTAGATCATATTCTGAGTCTGAAACATCCAGAATCCATTAATGTAAATGTTGAATATTTTCTCATGAAACTTGTATTGGTACCGATCTATTTCAGAGGACGCCAATTCCAGTGGCGTACGTCTATTAATTCTAAAAATAAATCGCTACAAAGAATTCTGGATTTTTCAGCCCCTGTGTCTGACCTGGTAGAACAAATAAGACGCAGCTTGGTTCCAAAATACACCTTCCCCTCTCCGCATTCCCAAATAAAATCGTCATCATTCCATACATCCATAAATATAAAAAAATTATGATGGTGGCTTGCTTTCAATTTCAAATGGGTCAATCTAAATATTACCTGTTTTTTACTTTCATTTGTAACGAAGATAACTTCATTAACATCATTTTTCTGTTTCAGGGATGACGGGTAACTGAAGATGGCATCACCTACACCATCGCTAGAATCCCTACCAAGAGCAAACTCGATTGGATCCTTCGGAGATCAGCACGATTACCTCTCCCTCTCGCCATTGGCCGATTCCCCGTTGTCAGTCAGCGGCTCCTCTCCACCGGTCAGCGACTCAGTAGACAGAGACAGCGACCCCTCAGAAATCCATTGCCAGCAGTGCAGAGAGCCGGTCTCAGACCCCAAGCTGCTCTCCTGCTTCCACACCTTCTGCAACAGCTGCCTCGAGAAGAACAAGCTCGTTTGTCCTCGTTGCAACTCGGAGCTTATAGAGGGCATTTGGAACAGCGTTCTCTTCAGCTCAGAGAATTCTGAGGCTTTCCATTCGGCTCCTATACGTTGTACCGGGTGCAAACACAAGAAACTAGACGCGGTAGCACGCTGCGTCGATTGTGCCAACTACCTGTGTTCAAATTGCGTCATGGCACACCAATTTATGCATTGTTTCGAAGGCCACAGAGTGGTTAATCTGGCTGATATCAAGGACCAAGAGTCCAAGAACGGTTTGATTCCCAACGGGAACATGAGCAACGCCGAAAAAAGCATGATTTGCCCGAGGCACAAGTCCGAGTTGTTGAAATACTACTGTCGCACGTGCACCGTGCCCATTTGCAAGGAATGCCTCAGCCTGGACCACCCTGTAGGTCTGCACGAGTACGAGCATATCAACGAAGCCGCGCCCAAGCAAATCGAAGCTATCCAGCACGCGGTGACGGAAGCCAAAAGCAAGGCTACGGACGTGAGAAATATCTTGAAAAATGTAGAGCACGTTTCCAGCCGCTTGCAGGTGCAGTACCACAAAGCCCAGAACGAAATAAACGATACGTTTCTCTTCTACAGATCCATGCTGGAGGAAAGGAAACAAGAGTTGCTCAAGGAGTTGGAGAGCGTGTTCAGCGCCAAGCAGATATCGCTGGGCGTAGCGACGCAAAAAGGCCAGGAGACTTGCGAACAAATCTACAAGACTTGCGAGTTCGTAGAGAGACTGAACAAGTGCGCGAACGTGGTCGAAATCCTCATGTTCAGGAAACTTTTAGACGCTAAGTTACAAGGACTGTTGAACTACAACATCGACCAAAGCGTGCAGTCGGCTGGGGAACTCGAGTTCGTTTCGAACTACCAAGCTATCCAAGTGGGCGTGAGAAACACCTTCGGCTATGTCCGGTCGAACTCGGAGCCCGCCGTAGGGCCCAGCAAGCAGCCGCCCATCGCCAGACCCACTGGGGGCGGCAATGGCGGCGGTTCTAGCTCCAGCGGTAGCAGCGTGAATGGGAGCTCGGGCAGTATCAATGGCGGCATGCACTGCCCTTTCACCATCTCGGGCTCCAGCCAATCCACTTCTCCGTTCGAATCGAACATAATCAGCAAGCGGTTCAGCAGCGCCAACAGCCTGGGGCCGTTTTCGACGACCATGGGCGAATTGAATCTCAACGGTATCAACCCTTACGAGAAGTGGTCCAACGGCGGTATGTAACGATTCTGTTTTCTAATTTGAACTTTTTTTTTGTCGAGGTAGTTGAAATCCTCTATGGACATCATATGTGTGAGAGTTCCCTGACTCTAGCCAGGGTTTACCCACTAAACATTCCACCCCGCTTGTAGGCTCGTCTGACCAATGTATCTGACGACAATCAGGCCTGGTGGCCCATTGTATCTTACCTAGTAGTTTTTTTTTCAAAATTGTTGAATTTCAGAGCTCATTTCAAACGTACCGTAATGGCCGCCATTTGTGGATACGTCGAATAAATGGTGACGTCAGTTTTTATGCTGTCTCGTTATTGGTTAGATAATCTTCCATTCCCACTCATGAAGCAAGGTTGTCAAGTCACCAATTATAATCAAGTTATCAAAAAGATATCAGAATCCTGTCGTTGAATAAAACACTAAATAAATCATGATAGGAGGAAGCTATGATATTATAGTTCGTTCTTGACTTTTTTGAGCAACCAGCAGGTCCAAATATTTCTTATACTACATGAATAAAATAAAATGCAAATGTCGTAGACTTGGCAACAATGTGCTGATTGCTGATAACTGACAAGACACCGCCCACAATTCGTGTGCCGTGTTGTCACGTTTACCGGTTTAAATGTTCTCTTGTGTGAATTAATATAATAATAATTATTTACATAAATGTTTTATAAGCAATAAGGAATATTACCAATACATAATTGAGAATTTACGAATCATTGAATAACTAATATTTCTGAAGTTCACAATCGTATTTCCACATATGCCAGCTATGCTATGGTCTGCCCCTACTTACGAAATGGTTACGTCAGTTTTTACTCCTGGTAAATTTCTAGCCGTTTGAAAATTACCGTGGCATTATTGATGATTGATTTTAGCATCAATCAAAATTCAAAAAAATATGAAATTGAAAGTTATTCGAGTGACGATTCTATTTGAGAAATAAAAAAATAGTATACTCGCCTATTTTGAACTTGCCCTATTCAATGCCACCATCTTCAATATCGTCCAACTTAGTCCTTAGCAAATATCTGCCTATTGGGTAACTCAGGTTTTTTTTTTTTCTAATATTAAGTCCATTCATTCATAATAATTTTACATAAACTACATATTTTTTTAATAGAGTTATAACTTTTCTAATTTCAACGCTAAGTATGTTCAAACCCTACTCAAAATTCGTATTGGACATAAAACATATCATTCAGCGGAAAATGCGGATGCAGATTCCCAAGTATTCAGTATTCTTAGCCCAATAACAATATTCTTCAAAATGGGTTCAGAGGGTAATGAACAAAAATGTCAATCAAATAAATATCATATGGTATATGTTCGAAACCCTGAAATATTGATATAATAAAGAATCATTAAAGTTATCAACCCACACCTATACGCCGCCGACGAAAAGCTACCAGGTGCAGTGAAAAGGGTAAATTTTACGTTTCAGGTGGCACAGACAGTATCTTCCAGAACGGCACTCCAGATCCGTACTCGCTCTCCAACACCGCCCACAACGACCCGATGCTGGATCTAACCTCAAAGCTAATGTCCACGGCTATTTTCCCGCCAAAATCGCAAATCAAGCGCCAGAAAATGATCTATCACTGCAAATTCGGGGAGTTTGGAGTCATGGAAGGCCAGTTTACTGAACCTAGCGGCGTGGCTGTCAACGCGCAGAACGATATCATCGTGGCTGATACAAACAACCACCGGATCCAGATTTTTGACAAGGAGGGACGGTTCAAATTCCAGTTTGGGGAGTGCGGCAAACGCGATGGACAGTTACTGTACCCCAATCGAGTGGCAGTAGTACGCACTTCTGGTGACATAATCGTCACCGAGCGTTCTCCCACGCACCAGATCCAGATTTACAACCAGTACGGGCAGTTTGTGCGCAAATTCGGGGCTAATATATTGCAGCACCCACGTGGCGTCACGGTGGACAATAAGGGACGTATCGTGGTGGTGGAATGCAAAGTTATGCGGGTGATAATCTTCGACCAAACAGGGGCTGTTCTCCAAAAGTTCGGGTGCTCCAAGCACCTGGAGTTCCCCAACGGCGTAGTAGTTAACGACAAACAGGAGATTTTCATTAGCGACAACAGGGCGCATTGCGTCAAGGTTTTCAGCTACGAGGGAGTGTATTTAAGACAGATCGGCGGCGAAGGAATAACCAACTACCCTATCGGCGTGGGGATTAATGCGAATGGGGAGATTTTGATAGCCGACAACCACAACAACTTCAACCTGACGATTTTCACTCAGGATGGGCAATTGGTGTCAGCTCTGGAGAGTAAGGTGAAGCATGCGCAATGCTTCGATGTTGCTCTTATGGATGATGGTTCGGTGGTGTTGGCTAGCAAGGATTACAGGTTGTACATCTACCGTTACGTGCAGGTGCCCCCTATCGGCCTGTAGGCGAGTTGTTGCCTGGCAGGGTTGCCAGCCGCCATTCCCAACACTTTTTGTTGACGCATTTTTGAATGGAGTGGTCGGATGCTGGTCTGTTGATTGTATTATTTTTTTTAGAGTTGTCAAAATTGTCACGATGTTGATCGTCATAGTTTTGTACTGTATTTCACATGTTGATATTTTTAATATTATAAACGTTTGACAAGCAGGACGGCGTCGCAGCGCTGTTGCCCATGTTGTATGACCAAATTATCAATTTTTAAAACAGGGATATTATTATTCAGATTAGAAATGTTAACCAAGCATCGCATGGTGCCTGGGCCATTGTTGTAATTTAAATTTGAGCAGTTTCCGATGATAATGATCTATTTTAATATGCGTGTATGATGTTGTGTATGTTCTTAGAAATAGCGCCTTGTTGTTTGCGGGTTGCCGCGTTGTTACGGACCCTAGTCAACCACGAACTGTACTTTTTTGAATTTAGCTCTTTTCTATTTTTTTTATTGCCTATTATTACTGTTCTCTCTTTATAGTTCTCCCCCCCTCGAGGGTGATTTGTATTTTTCGAATACGTCGTGCCGTGCCCCCCCACACCCCGCCGCTCGGGATTTCCCCCCTTGTCGGCATTATTTGTTTCTCTTTTATTTTTTAGTTTTGTTATACACAATCAATTATTAGTTAGTATATTATAATGCAAGTGTGGTGCATGCCAAGCCTACATCTCTTCACTGATCCTTATTATTTTTTTAATTAGTTGTAGTTTCGTAGTAATATATTTGATTGTTGAGGCTGCCAAGTTTAAGATAGCGGGCCCGAGGGCAAAGTATCAGCACTACTGAGGCGCGTACGCGCCACTTTCAAGACTATATACTTAGTAGCTAAGTTTCTCGTTCATTTATTATTATTATTATTTTGCGTATCTCTCGGAACAGAATCATGGGGTCCTAAATCCCAAAACGGAACATATTGCGCACGAATCATGACAATTTTTATTTATCTTACGTTTAGTTAATCCATACTCACCGGCAAAGAAATTTTGTCATTGTCATTGATCGCCATGTAACTTTCCATTCTCGTCCAATTTTGCTGACATTTTTAGCACATCATAAATTGATGTTTCGCAATGTTAGCCCGTATTTTAGTACCGAAGACAAGCTGATGCTTGATAATTATACAGCAAGGAAAAACTGAAAATGCTCTCTCACCCTTAAATTCTCAACGCCCTGTACCGAAAGTGAGTTATTGAAGTTAGTTTCATCATGTTTTTCAAAATGGTTTTTGATTCAACTCAATAACTCTTTCTTAAGAGAAATAAGTATGGATTTTTGAAATTTTTACGAACATATGTTGAACTTTATTAACTTGAACCCTTGCTTGAACCTGAAAAATCATCAAAAATCAATATTACTTATTTCCACCCAGTTTTCTTACACTCACCTGCAAAAAAAACTTGAATTACAAAAAACTGAGGAAGAGCAGACCTACTAGATGTAGTTAATGCATTCGACCACCCTGGCATCCTTTGAATTCAATTTCAGCCTTGACGAATTGTCTTGATCTATATGCTTCTCAATTATTTTTAATAAAAATTAAAAATGCCATACTTTTTTAATCATTTGCATCTTCTCTTAATAAAAAGATATTGAGGTGAATCAAAAACCATTGTGTTAAGAAGGGATCACATTTCAATCCAAAACATAATGAAGCTAAGTGCGACCACTTATTTTTGCCACAGGGCATTTAGTTGTCGAAAGTGAAAGAGTAACTTTTGTTTTCCCCTTATGATGATCAAGCAATCAGCTTCTCTTGAGAACTTAAATCCAGGCTAATACTCTAAAACTCAACTCCACGATTTGGTCGAAATTTCACCTTAATAGGACTCGAATTTAAATCGTTACAAGGTGATCAATTTGGCTAAGATTTCCTCTGGCTGTTGTTTTTTCGGTGACTGTATTTACCGATGATACCGTATCAAATTCCACAAAGTTCAATCGTTACATTATTTTTTGCCTTCATATCCCGTGATTTTATTCTGTACGGAACTCGAAGGTTTTTTTACGATAATTTATATCTTTCTTATTATTATTTAAATTATATCATTGTTGTTTTTTGAGATCAGGAGGCGATTGATCGATCGAATTGTCGAGGGCTGAGCGATCTCAATCCAAATACCAGCCCTCTCGGTAAGAGAGCCCTGCGGCACCCCAGCTTTATGCGGCCTCCCAGCTCTCGACGTTCATCTGACAAGTGTTATGTGTTGTTTTCAAGTGTCTTGTTCAGAGTACACTATATTTTTTCTACTTGTTCTTGGACGGCCTTGGATGGGCGTCTTGAGCAGGGTAGGCCGTGCTTTTTTTAGCTCGGTGCAACATCGTTCTCGGAATTTTTTTATCTCTCCTTTTTTTAAACTTGTTGTTATTATATAATAATTTAATGGTAAAAATTGTTCATAAATTAAATGTACATTGTTTTGTTTTTCTTTGATTTTTTGTTGTAAATGCTTTTTTTAATTAATAATACCAGTTCTTGCAGTTTTCAATTAGTTTTTTATTTTTCGTTTTTCTAGATAAATGGCTGCAAGCAAACCCCAAGTCCAGGTGGAGCCAAATTTATATTATTTTATGTTAGTGCGGCAGTTGAGCTAGAATATTTCAATATAAGGTGCACTTCTTGATGAAGGTACCAAAGTCACAGAGGTAAACCGATATAAAATGAATAAATTTTGATGTGGAGCCATCGGCCAACTGCCCCCTGGCGACCGTGCTTGCCATTTTCTAAAATGGCCGCCAAAGGACACCCTTAAGACATCAGAAGTTACATGAAGTTTGCTGCTGAAGGTTTGTCAATGTTTATTGAATGTTTTGAATGAAATCATGCCATTTTCATAAGTTATATAAGAGATAGAGAAAATCTTTTGGGGGATATAGTACAATATTGTTAGGTCTATGAAACAACATTAACTTGGTCTCTACAGAATTTAAACGCGGGGTTTATAGATTGATGACTTTTTTTAATGGAACACCTTACAAGGCTTTGTCTCGAATTTTCTCTTATCCAGTACTAAACCAAACAATCATTGCTACCATTTTCGAGTAGTGAGAATGCCGATGCAATCTGAAAAATATACAGAAATGATAGTTTACTTCAATGTGATAAACCTCTTCCTTTTATCTTTGAATCAATCAAGCAAATCATCAATCTTGTAACCCCTCGTTTAAACAATATCCTGTAGAGATCAAAATAATCTTGCTTCATAGATTTAACGACCAACGAGATTTTCTCTATCACCTATTGTTATGGAGCTATAGAGTTTTTCCACACTAACTATAACTAACTTATCAAGAGGCATGAGTTAATTCCAAACATTCAATAAACATTGACAAACCCTAAGCAACAAACTATATCTAACTTCTGATGTCTTTCGGGTCTCCAGTGGCGGCCATTTTGAAAAATAGTCACCACGGCTGCCAGGGGCAGTTGGGCGATGGCTCCATATACAAATTTGTTAATATTTTATTGATCTACTTCTGTACCAAATTTGGTGCCTTTATCAAAAAGTGCACAATAGTTTAGCTAATCTGCTGTACTATTATGTTGAATCTCCAGTAAAAATTAACGAATTATGCCATCATATCTTATCCTATTTATATCAATAATGATCATCTCTGGCAGACATCATGAAAACCATTGATCAAAAATGTTGGTGATGACTTTGGTAATGACATGGTCAATAAAAGTGTTCTTTATTGTGATATTTTCCTAGTCTCAAGTTAGAAATTTGGCTTCTTCCTAGGATTTCCTTGCAGTCATTTTAGTGATTGCCTCCTATCTTCCTGAATCCAGATCCTTTCTCCCGAGTGTATAGGTTAAGTAAGAGAGCACGGCACAACTGGATTACATTCCATTTTTCTGAATTTCTACTTTCTGTACTTTTGTACTTAGAAGTAAGCGTGATGATACCATTCCTTAAACGGAAAAAGCTTGTGTAATGTTGGAGAACTTCTTCGAACAATCTTCCTTGGGCCCAATAACCAAATCCTATATACCTAGTATAGGCATGTGTGATTTTTTTCGTATCATAGTCACTAGTGTTAGTAGCGTAGTAGAGTTTGAAAGTAAACTTAAGTAGGCAGTTTTCTCAGTTATATGTCTGAGTTAAGAAGCATAACGTTTTTCGGTAAGACTGAATTTAAACAACACATCTTTTCTGGTAACGAACTTCTTAGTGATAAAGCAATTACAGGAATTCGTCGAATTGAGGCCAAGAATCGTTTTTGGTGTACACCTCAGAAAGATAAATTGAAGATTTGGAAACTGGAATTCAAAATATTAAAAATACAAAAAACACGTATTCTGGCAATCATGTTATGTGGTTCAGAAATTGCCAATATATTATTTCATTCAACTAACTATCTGATGAATATGATTCATCAACAGTTCCACTTAAGATGGCACCTAACGTGATGGCCGAAATACCTATTCAGTCTCTCTGAATATATGTTGTTTTTCGTATATACAACTCTGTTCAATCTCACCGAATTTTTCGAAAACGCACAATGGGCATCCTATTCTTGGTCCCAATTTTGAGGTATCCCTCGCTCTTTCTTGGAATATGATACGTTTACCTTCATGTCAAGTCAATTAATCTAGGGAACACAACTCTAATTCAGGTGGAGAGTGTATATAGATAGTAATTTCTACATTCGTCACAACACACCGCACACATCTCCCCTAGCTTCGACTCACCCTTCACAACCAGCTAAGTTCGCACTAGTCGACAATCAGTTTCCACGAAATTCTCCATCAACAGCTAACTACACCTTTCTCCAGATGTATTCCAGTAAGCGTCGATTCAATTTCAGAATAGTCACTTTTATTTCAGAAAGTATCAATTTTAGTTTTTCAGAATAATCAATTGAATTACAGAAAGCGTCAATTGTATTTTAGAATAGTCATTTGTATTTCAGAGAGTTTCTATTTCAGAATAGTCATTTGAATTTCAGAAAGGGTCATTTTCATTTCAGATTCATTAAGATTGATTAGTTAGTAGAAAGTGCTTTCAATGTGAAAATGTATAGGGTGTTCATCGCTCCTAAGAGCTTCATGATATTCAATCCATTTTTAGGTTCTCTTTGATGAGCATATTATAGACATTTATAGTTGAGGACCATCATAGTGAATAAATACGGAGAATACGGGTATAGTCCCGTTTATCACCTGCCCTGAAATACTGGGTACGAGTAGAGTCCTGGCATTGGTATGAATAGAGTTCCATGAAAGAAACAGTAGTCTCTTCCGAAAAATATATTTTCTATGAAGAAAGTTCATTTAGGCCGATCAGGTTAAATTGTTCAGAAAAAGGAGTCTCCTTCCTAAGATATGATCCTTCCTCACGATAAGAGATGGATCGGTTTCAAAAAATATATACTTTATAGGAAGAAGTTTCATTTTGGTCAACTGTTGTTAGATTATTCAGAAAAAGTAGTAAAGGTATGATCCTTCTTCAAGATTTAGTTAAGAGAGTGTTCCCTATCAACAAGTTCAATCAGCGCACAATTGACCCATAAATATCGCAGGTAACTCGCGCTCAACTGTCCTATTCATTCTCTACTACCTCCTATGTCTCGGGAGTCTACTCATAGTATACCATTTTTGGGAAGGGGATTAAATAAATCAGGTAAAATCTGTATAGAACTCGATTCTATTGCCTTCCATGTGTCAATGAAAAAGTTCTGATATTTTCAAGGAGAATATAAGAATGTTAATATTGTTATTTGTTAAACCATGTTGAACGAACTTCCGTTATGATTTTTTACAAATGTCCTGCATTCCAAATATTGGTTGTAGAAGCTTGTATAATTTTTTAGATTTTTTCGGAGCCATACTGCGTTCATAAGTTGATATAAATCCCTTATTAATCGATTATTGGATGTAGTATGGGAACCAGCCTTGATACCAGCCAACTCCTATTAGCAATACATTTTTCCTAGAGAACGATTTCCGAAATTCAATTGACGCTTTCTGAGATACAAGTGACTATACTGAAATACAATTG